TTTTGCAACATGGCCTTGAATGAATTTGTTAGGAAAAAGATGTTTTCGTGTGAGCAAATTAACAAATCTTGTCTGCAATCAATGATCCGCATTTGTGGGAGGATTTTGTAGTATAGTGTCCCATAGAAAATGTTAATTCTGAAAGGAAAGTAAAGGTTTTTAGAAAAATCTGTTGAGGTGTACTTATTTATGCTGAGCGCTGTGTGTATATGTGTGTGTATATATATATATATATATATACTGTAGATATATATATATATATATAGCTGCAGTATATATATATATATATATATATATACACACACACACATACACATGCAGTGTACAGGTGTACCTCGGTTTACGAATTTAATGCGTTCTCCGGGATGTTTCGTATTACGAAAAATTTGTAAACCGAAACGTGGTTTCCCATAGGAATGCATTCAAAACCAATTAATCCGCTCTGGAGGTCAGAAAAAAGTTTTTAAAAAGTCGCTGTTACTATAGGTCCGTGTCGGTTTTTAAATGTAATTAGCGGATTTTTTTTTTTCTTCACTATAGCTCAGAGAATTAGCTGTCACTTTCCCCCCAGCTAAAAGAAACAAAGTTTCCTTTAGCTCCGGGGAAAGTGACAGCTAATTCTGTAAGCTATAGTGAAGAAAAAAAAAAGACGGCAATTGCATTTAAAAATCGGCACCAACATACACTTCGTATTGCGAAAAACATTTGTAAAAAATGAGTACACCAAGGCATTATTTTTAATGGATTTTCATTCGTAAACCAAAAATTACATTAACCGAGGCATTCATAAACCAAGGTTCACCTGTATATCTACTTGGCTTTGGCAGACCGTAGAGTGCCTTGCCGCTGTCAGCAGCCTTACACCCGCTAGTTCGGGGATTGTGGCCATTGCTCTTCGGAGGTTGGTTCCTTTTATGTACCATCATGCACTTTTTTTTGTGTTGTGATTTTATGTTCCACTTTTTTTTTGTTCACCAGGGATCGACAAACCACTGCACCACAAAAAAAAAAAAAATGACTATCTCCATTACCAGAGCAGGCATAAAACTGAAGTAGAGCTGATCTAATTTATTCCAGTTCCTTCTCTCTGTAACAGGATGTATAGGGGAATCTATAGAATGTCTGACTTTTTAGCTGTTTTGCATTTGTACCTTTTTCCTGTTCTAGAATGAATACCGCTCGGAGCTGGAAAGTCAGCTGAGAAATGTTACCTCTTGCTCGGGGCTTATTGTCAACACCAAACCCTGTTTTTCGTGTTTGTAGAATGAATTTATGTGTGTACAGGTATTTTCCAGTTCAGCTCTTGCACCTGTATGCCTATACCGATTAGAGACATTCTTACAATTACCAACTTTTTATTCGTCAATAACTTTGGTATAATTAAAGATAAAAGAGTAATCCACAATCCACACCCCATGTTTTTCAGGACATCAAAGACAACATTTTATGACTTAGTCCTCATGCACACGGGATGTTTTTACAGCGGCTGTTTTTGGCTTTTGATGTTTTTTTTTTTCTACAGCCAGTAAACCCCCCCAGCCTGTTATCCTATGTGTCCATACACACATAGAATGGAATCAACGTTTTTTGTCAGAGGCATTTTTTGGCTGGAAAAACCCAGGACTAGTGGGCTTCTAGAGGGGTTTTTTAGCTGTAAACATGCTCTAAGATTGAAAAATGCGGCAAAATGCAGTAAAACGCCACAAACCTGTGTTTTTACACTTTTTTTGACCAAAAAAAAAATTTTTTTGGTAAAGAAAAAATGCTAAAAAACGCAAACTTGGGAAAACGCGGCAAATGCTGCTAAACGCTACAGCAAAAATGCTAGGAAAGGCTGAAAAACTTTACACAGCTAACATTACCAGCATTATCAAAATGTCCAGTATGCATGAGGACTTAACCCTGGTTCACGTATGTGCGTTCCTGCGGGTCGCGTTTTGCGTGGGCACGAGAGCCCATTCATTTGAACGGACTCCCGTGCCCATGACAAGTAGGGAAGAAGTCCCTGCACTTCTTCGGAAAACGCAGCCCACATGGGAACCTCGGTTCCCAGTACGGTTGCGATTTTCAGTGCTGGCGGCGTGCCATTAGAATGAATGGCACCCGCCCGCGGGTCCGCATTCTTCTGTGCGGGTGGTGCGGCTGCACAGATTTTTGTGCTCATCCCCAGCGGCACAACCCGCGCAGATGTGAACCTAGCCTTAGGGCTTATCATTCACACTGGCTGTTGGGGGTGGTAAAATCTCCCCCCCCCCCCACAGCTGCAGAGGTAGTGGCGGGTGGTGTACATATGCAAGGGCTCAAGGCTGCAAGACTTTTGCCTCAAGTAAATGGGGCTGCTCTGCAACTGCCCCACAACTCTTGGTTCAAGGGGTTAAAGCAGGTGGTGAGAAGATGATACAACACCTCCTCACCACCTGACAAATGTTCTCTGAATAGCGATCCAAATGTGGATCGCTCTTTAAACAGCAACGCTAGTGTGAACGAGCCCTTAGGCTGCATTCACACCTAGGCGTATTAAAAATGTGTGCAAAATTGCACTGTGTTTGTGCATGTTCTTTGTTTTTTTTAATATATTCTTCAGGTTTTTTTTTAATACATGAAAAATTCATTTTAACATATATTTTTACATATATTTGTAAATGCATTCCAAAAATGTTGATTTGTATTTTGAAAGACATACAGTATATATGAAATGTATTTTTAAAATTATCTTTCATATATTTTGTAATAAAAACGCATTTCAACATGCAGTGTATATATATATATAAATATAGTTTGAAGTATATTGAATATGGCCAAAATTGTAGTATTTCAAATATATGGCAATATATTTGGGCAGAATATTTTAAAAATATATTTCAAATATATTTTTCTTCCATATGACAATCAAAGTAAATACAATGTAACACTATTGTTATATTGTATTTCTTAATGACACTTTCACAGACTATCTGCAGAAGTTATCATCCAGAGAAAGTCTCGGCTGTCATTTTAGGTGAAAAGAAGGCATAGGACACCAAACAATCAGCTCAAAGGATGAAATATCCAGACATCCAGTAGAAATGCTATTGCCAAAGTGTTTCAGGGGTCGAAGATTTCTACTTCATCAGGACTTGGGCTAAGGTTTCTAGAGTGTTTGTGTGGACTCCTTAACGTGGATCCTAATCTGAGAACAGGCAGGTGTGAAGAGCTTAGTGGTGTGTTATGGCACTGCTGGTTGTTGAGTTTTGCCCACTGGCTGTCATTTTGACAGCCTGGATTTGCCAGCAATAGCGGCCAGGAAGCAGCAGAGGAGCAGGTCAAAGTAGAAGTCTCCCAGAAACAGGTCATAGATATGCCTTAGGAACAGGGCTGCTGTTAGAACCCACGGGGCCCTATACAGCCAACCTGACAGGGCCCCATCCCCCCCCCCCCCCAAAAAAAAAGCAGTTTACTATGCTTCAATTATGAATGAACACAGTTACATAGTTAGTCCGGCTGAAAAAAGACAAAAGTCCATCCAGTTCAACCATAGAAAAAAATATATATATAATCCTATACCCACAGTTGATCCAGAGGAAGTTAAAAAAAACCAGCAAAGCATGATCCAATTTGCACCTGCTGGGAAAAAAATTCCTTCCTGATCCCCCGAGAGGTAATCGGATAGTCCCTGGATCAACTTTTCCTATAACAAAAATATAAAAACAGTGAATTATCAGTACCGATCATTCATTGTGTTCATTCAGGAAAGCACTGGTAAATGTGACATATTTACTGGACCCTTCCCCCACTCTCCAGCTTGAAGTTTCCTATTGTGTGCTTGCAGCTGCCAGTGGAAAGGAGAGGAGGAAAGCGAGCAGCACTGCGGGGGTGGGAGCACACAGGGGCACCTTGGCAGCAGGGAGAAACAAATAGTGCACAGGGAAAGTAATGGGTGAGGCAGGGCGGGCAATTACTGGAATATATCTCTTATGTTCAAGGTCCAAAAGTAGTTTAAGGAACTCAACCCAGGGGAGGACCAATGCTGAACCAAACCACAGGAGCACACAGGGGCAAACAAATGGTGCACAGGGAGAGTGATGGGTGAGCCGGGGTGGGCAGTTACTGGAACATATCCCCTGTGTTCAAGGTCCAAAGGTGGTTTAAGGAACTCAACCCAGGTGAGGACCAATGCTGAACCAAACCACAGGAGAACACAGGGGCACCTGGGCAGCAGGGGGAAACAAATGGTGCACAGGGAGAGTGATGAGTGAGGCAGGGTGGGCAATTACTGGAACATATCCCCTATGTCCAAGGTCCAAAAGTGGTTTAAGGAACTCAACCCAAGGTCCAAAAGTGGTTTAAGGAACTCAACCCAGGTGAGGACCAATGCTGAACCAAACCACAGGAGCACACAGGGGCACCTGGGAAGCAGGGGGAAACAAATGGTGCACAGGGAGAGTGATGGGTGAGGCGGGGTGGGCAATTACTGGAACATATCCCCCATGTCCAAGGTCCAAAAGTGGTTTAACCTCCCTAGCGGTCTGATTATGTCCATATTTCTGTACTCAAAGCGGCACATTTTTTTGCATGGAAATATGTTTTTTTTTTATTGTAGGCCTGTAATTTTTAGGAATAACTCACTGAAATCTGTCCGAACAAGCGTCTAGTAAACATCCCGGGTATGATAAAACTTGAAACACGAAATCATAAATTATAATTTAATAATCATAAAAAATAATAATATAATAATAAATTTAATTCAATAATATAATCAAACCAAAAACACTGAAATTTGAAATATAGCGCCAAGTTCGCACATCACTGAGCAAAGTCGCAAAATCGTTTTTAGTGTCTGATGACGAATTTCCCCCACGAATCATTATCACTCAATTCTGCAAGTGGTTCTGATTTACTATCGCTGTTCTCTAGCCGGTCTAAAAGGGACGCTTTTTGGACGCCATGGACGTTTCTCAGTTTCCAGGCAGAAAGAACAGTAAAAATGCAGGCAGGGCGCCGGACAAAGCACTTGGGACAAAATGTATGTGAAATGGTTTGGTACAGTAATGTTTTACTATGTGATTTTAGTGAATGTCACTTTTTGTCATTTTCAAATTTCCCGCCGTTCCGTCCCCCATACGTCCCGACACTCACAGGGGACGGAACCCATAAGACATCTGCCAGATTACATTGCCGGGGACACTGCAGGAGGGACATCGTGGGAGCGCAGGACAAGGTAAGTGATCGAGGAATCCCGAAGCAGCGCCGCATGGTAAGCCCGAGTGTAGCTCGGGGGGGTTACCGCTTCTGGTACTGAAACTTTACCCTGAGCTACACTCGGGAATACCACCAGGGAGGTTAAGGAACTCAATCCAGGTGAGGACCAATGCTGGATCAAACCTCTCTCCCTCCAGCAAAGTCCAACTGAGCACCTCCTGATTTCAACTTTCAGACAACAATAAAATACATATCGGAACAAATAACACTTGGTTGATTTTTGGATTTTAAAAGAAAGTGAACAGAAGCATGTTTTTTTTATTATATCTTTTATTAAATGTTTTTTTATTACAAAGAGAACCTCAAACACACACAAGTCTGAGAAAAGAAAAAACAAGAGCAATAACAAAGTTCTCCCGTGCATCCCAATTACCTCTTATCATATTTTTCAACGGAAGCACGTTTTACCAGATTTGTTGGTGACTTTGCACATACCTCCATACTGACAGTGCCTACAAAACAATCTTCAGCTTTCATAGTTCAGTGAGTTATCACTTTTATAACCTTTTTCCCTCTTGTAGAGAGGAAGAAGCTGCGAGGTTTACGGTTATGTCAAATGTCAGATTATTATGACTTTTTTGGCCTGAGGTTTACTGTATAGAGGTCAGCATGGAAGCCTGTTCTTCGTGTTTTTGAATGGAGTAATTATCATGGATATATACTGGTATTGTGGAACGCTCTAGTTGGGACAAAAACTCAAATTAGACCTCAATGATTATGTAAACTTGGTGTTTTTATTGTGAACCACATGACCAGGGGACTAAAGATGGCTTGATCCAGTCCCACTATACCAGTGGTTCTCAAGCTTCCTAATGCCGCGACCCTTTAATACAGTTCCTCATGTTGTGGTGACCCCCAACCATAAAATTATTTACCCAGTAATTATAATTCATGAAGTGTCGTTTTACCTCCAATACTGCTGCTTTCAGCACAGTAGCTGCTTTCAGCACAGTAGCTGCTTTTAACAGAGTAGCTGCTTTCAACACAGTAGCTGCTCTTTACACATCAGAAATATGTGTTTTCGGATGGTCTTAGGCGACCCCTGTGAAAGGGTCGTTCGACCCCCAAAGGGGTCGCGACCCACAGGTTGAGAACCACTGCACTATACCAATTCCTACCCCCCCCCGTCCTTAACCTAAGTAACCACACTGACAATAAAATGGAGTTAATGACCCAAAAACGGCCTGTTATTACAACCATCAATAAATAACATTTAATAACAGAAAACACAGTATAAACATATGTTTTTTTCAAGGTCCCACTAGGCATCGAGAAAAACGAATACCTGCGTCCTGCTTAATTAGGCCTCCAGCAGCAACACCACCGACTCGAAGACACCACCGCAGATACTCCCACCACAACCACTTGAAAGCCGTACCTAAGACGGGTTCCTACAAAATGCCTTTTCTTGTGCCCACATTAACCAACAAGGACCTTGCACCCCAGAACCAACATGGCACAACCACCACCAAGACAAACCATGAAACAACGGGCGGTCGGGAGGGAAGTTTGCCTCCTGAAAACTCTCTTCAGACTGAAGACCCCCTACCACACCCTGTCAGACCACCCCTTGTAGCTCCCCCCCACTCCTTCCATAAAACCATTTAGACTCCCCCTTATGCTAATGGAACTCTCCTCTCCCCAACCCCCTTTAACCCCTGTCATGGCGGCCCTTCATTCTTCTTTTCTTCTTTTCTTCTTACTCCGGGCCTTCCTGGAGAAGTTGTTAGGGCTTGTTCAAAATGTGGCACTGCACTTTTTTAACATCTTCACGCTGGCGCCTCCCGGCCCTGTAAGGGGTTTCAGACACTGAGAGGCGGGGGTGGGGTCAAAAACAATATTTTTTACTTTTTGCTGTTAAACATGCCCAGTAAAAAATTTAAAAAATCAAATTTCGGCAAAAGTTTAGGCCAAAATATATTTCGCGACGTCTTTGCTAAAAAAAAATTCCAATATATGTAAATTAATTGGTTTGCGAGAAAGTTATAGCATCTACAAATGGAGGTATATATACTGGAATTTTTTTTTTTTTTACTAGTAATGGCAGCGATCAGTTACTTACGGCGTTACGGTGCTGCATACGACACATGTGACGGAATGCGCAGGGCACCCGCTCTCAGCGCATGTGTGTTTTCAATTGGTACGCAAATATGCAGCCGCTCCGTGTCAAGGCCCAGCCGCATATTTGCGTACGGTCGGCGTCAAGGGGTTAAAGCACTCTGAGCCCGGGTTCACACTGATGTGGTGTGGAATTCGCAGCGTTTTCTGTGCCAATTCCGCACTGCATCAGAATCGCACCCCGTTCATGTGAACCAATGCGGGTGTACATGTTGTTAACAACGTCCCAAAATCGGTCTGCAAAACGAGGTGCGATGTGCAGAATCGGATTGCATGGGTGTGAATACCCATGCGATCCAATGCTAATGCGGAACCAAAAAAAGGGTCCTGCACCCTTTTGGTGCAGGTGCGGTGCGATTGGAGCCGTACAAAAATGTACATTGTGTGTATATTAATTAGTTTACATGAAAGTTATACCGTTTACAGACGGTGGTATATGTGCTGGAATTTTGTTTTTTAATTTTTACTAGTAATGGCGGCGATCAGCGACTTATAGCCGGACTGCGGTGGGCATTCTGACACTGGGGGGGAACTGACTTGGTGTCAATGACATCCCCAGTGACACCAATACAGTGATCAGTGCTAATAAAAAGTACTGACACTGTAATAATGACACTGGGCAGTAAGGGGTTAACATCTGGGGCGATCAAAGGGTTAACTGTGTGTTGTTTATAACTGTGTGCTGTGTTTCACTGTAAGCACACTGGTTTGTATGGCTGTGCTATGCAAAGCAGTGTGCAGGAGCTGACAGAACTGTTTTGTTTTGTAAACAGTTCTCCCCATCAGAGATGCTCATCCATCACCGGCCGGGACCCAGTGATTGACAGCTGAGGCTGCGAATGGCAGCGCAGGTAGGGCGCGCACTCCCTACCCGGAAATGCAAAATCCGGAGGGGCGGAGTGACCATTTGGAAACTCGGGCACTACCCGAGGGCCCGGGGTCAGTAGGGGGCCCCATGAGATGCCCCTGGTACCTTTTTCATAGGCTTTTTTGAGTTTGGGCAAGGACACAGGGGCCCCATGATCCCCTATTGCCCGGGGGCCCCATGAGTTGTCAGTCTGCCCCTATGTATATATATATATACGTGATTTTGCGCACCCATGCCACCCTGTAGCAGTATTTCTGCTATAGGGCACACGGAAAGCGGTTAATCTGCCACAGAACCTGTGTAAATAATGTGTTCAGTTTTAAAGGTTGTTTAAAGTTGAAGTTGTTATAGCTGAAAAGGGCGCGGCCAACTCAATACTGAACCCTACGGACTTATGCAGGCCATACATGGTTCGAATTCCGAACATTTTTTCGTCCGAAAATCGAAAACGTTGTTCGCTCTGTAATCCGATGGTGCCATCAATGATTTCGAAAATCGGCCGACGAAGTCATAATGTTCACCCCATATAACAGGCGAAGCTTCTGTTCCTTCCAGGTCACGGCTCATGCGCATATTCTCTTTGGAAAAATGATCGTACGGTTTGACCATCATTGAGTGGAAAATCGGTAGTTTTTTACCAATGTTCCAACATGCCCGATCACTGAAAAGGGGAGGAACCACGAAAATCCGCCGGAGCCATGGACCCACTAATAGAGCGAAAATCGGCTGATTATTCTTAGGTCCGATTTTCGGGCGAAAAATCAGTTTAATTTCAACCCATGTATGGCCGGCCTAAGGCTGGGATGCCATTAAAGTTCATGGGTGTGGAAAGGCAGACAGCCCAATACTTTTGGCAATAGAGCGTATATTAGGACAAGTCCCAATTGTATTGTGTGATATACGAAGTGTACCCTCTGTCTACAAACCTGCAGATGAAATATAAATATATCAAGCATTTATATAATTAAAAAAAAAATCTTTTTTTTGTTTTTTTTTTTAAAGTGGACCAATCATCAAAAATGTTCTTCTCACGTTAAGCTATGTGCACAGGGGTGGACTGACTATTCGAGCACTAGGGCAGTGCCCGATGGCCTGGGGTCAGTAGGAGGCCCCATGAAATGCCCCTGGTACCTTTAATAGGCTTTTTTGGGAGTACTTTGAGTGTGGGCAAGGACACAGGGGCCCCATGATCCCCTATTGCCCGGGGGCCCTATGAGTTGTCAGTCCGCCCCTGTACGTGCAAGTATCACTTCCAGCAATTATGACTACTCAAGGAGATAACAGTACTTCAGTTCTGATAATGCTTTTCTCTTAGCTTCAGCCTAAAAGGCCAGCACCATCTTTATTCAGGCATCATCAATGGTCAGAATCCACATCCTGAACTAAAAATCCTTCCGTTCGAGGATCCGATCCTAAAAAATAAAAAATCACAGCGCCATTCATAAAGTTCTCCATTAGAAAACCCTACATTTTCATGTCTACTGTATTTTCTGCTTTTGGTTGTAGTTTTCCTTCCATTTCCCATTTTGGCCCTTCATAGACACCATAGCAGAAATATTGCGCATGCGCACACCAGAATGGCCCCAGACTTGTGACATTGAATGAGACTTGGGAAGTTGAATGCCTATGCTGGGGACAGGGGAGTCCCTAGGGTTGGTGTTACCCGGTGCGATAACACTTGGTGACACCCCCTCCGACAATCCCCGCAGAATGGATCGGATCTGCAGATTGAGCATAATGGATCAGCCTCCGATCCATTATGCTCCCCAATCCGCAGATCCGATCCATTCTGCGGGGATCGTTGGCTTTCTTTACAACTTACCTTTCCGTGGAGCAGGTCCGGTGTCACCCCGTATAGGTTGCATGCCGACGATCCCCGCAGAATGGATCGGATCTGCGAATTAAGAAGCATAATGGATCGGAGTCTGATCCATTATGCTCAATCTGCAGATCCGATCCATTCTGTGGGGATCGTTGGCTTTCTTTACAACTTACCTTTTCGTGGAGCAGGTCCGGTGTCACCCCGTATAGGTTGCATGCAGACGATCCCCGCAGGATGGATCGGATCTGCAGATTGAGCATAATGGATCAGACTCCGAT